ACAATGAGTGTGTATCTCTGCATTACTGAGAGCCAGTGCTTATTCCATGGCTTTAATGTGTTTGTGTGCATTGATTTGGTTATCCTATTATTACTTTCTGGTATTGGTTTGATGTAAAAAGGCATCACTTGTCAGATTTTTCTGGGAATAATAGAAGTGTTGGGATTGTGTGTTTCAAATCTGAGAATGTTTAACTGCTTTGGCTCGATCTTTAAGGGCATCTCCAACTGAAAATTTTAATTTTCACTCGAAAATATTGTAATACACTAAAATGCATTAAATTGTCTCCAACGAAACTCCATTTTCTAACACAAAAAAAATATTCCTAGTATATTCTTTCTCATACTTTATTTTATATATATATTAATCATATATTTATATGAAAAAAAAAACATATACTTTTAGAATGAATGCAAGGAGTCTAATGCATGCAGAATTTTTAACCATATTGATGCCAACAATGTCAAATAGATACTTTTAGAATATTATTAAAGTATAGATTCTTCTCTTCTACACCTCACTAGGTATATTAAGGTTATTATATTTTGTTGTGGCCAATTTTTTGTATTAATTCATGATTTGTTACTGCCCCTGGAGCATTATCCTTTCATAGTTTAGCTGATTCTAACATCTGTTATGTAATTTTTTGCTGACAGGAAACAAGAAAATGCCTCTGATATCTTTTTATGGCTTCATACTATGACAAAACACCAAAGAAGATGCAAGTCTTGTAAGAAACTGACTTTTCATCTTATTATAAGCTTCTGTATAGTTATTTCTAAGCATTTTCTACCAAATGTTATTATGTACTGTCCTGAATCTTCTGATTCGAAGGGCCACGGGCCTTGGTGGCCATTAAGGGAGGTCATGTTTTAGAGAGATTATTACGTGCGGAGATCGGACACAGAGAATCATTCGGATTTGTCTCTATGAACAGCAAAAGTGCAGTTGTTCGCAGAGATAAATTGGACGGTTCTCTGTGTCTGATCTCCGCACGTAATAATTTATCCATATTTTGTGGTTTGGCTAGCTTGTGAACCTGAATACTGAAATATTGTGGTATCTATACTTGTTTAGCATATGGAATACATTTTTGTGCTTATACGCAGCTTTTGTATATAAAAAATATAATTATACATATGTTTAAATTTAGTTTAAAACTATTAAAAAATAAATTTAAATATTATCACGCAATATGGGATGTTCGCTTATGTGTAAGAATGTTGGAAGGTCCCTTACTTTGACCGCCACTTAGTGTTTGTGCATCAATAGAGGTTGGACACTCGCTTAAACTTACCCGACCAGGAACATATAAATTAGGTAATGGTGGGGTGGGCCTACAAAAGTGATTAAGTTATACTATTTAATTATCCTATAGTTTACTTGATAGAAAGACTCGAGAATTTTTGGTTTGAGTAGATTGAGTCGGGTCATAGTCGAACGTACCGGAAGGGTTCATATCGTTAGCATCTTCTCCTAACATTTCTTCAACATCAACATACATAAGGTAGTATGTGTTGTTGCTTCAGTTAACACGTATTCGAATACTTCAGCGGCAGTGTTGTGTGCGATAGTGTAACCTCTATTATTTCGAAGACGAAAAACGAGATTAATAGTTTGTGTAGAGCTATCTAGATGTAAAGTACGAATGATTATGAGCTTAAACTAAGATAAGGGCAATATCACATATAATTTTAGAGATCGATTCCTTCCACCAACATAGGTAGGTGTGAAGTCTTCTGCAATTTGCAGCTCACCACCAACTTATAGAATCAACCGTGACATTTATTAGGTGTGGTTATTGATGTTGAGGGCTCTCATATAGTTCATTAACATTTCTAATTGGCTAAATGAAATTTGACAAAGAGCACAAAATTTTGCATTCTTAAGCAAACGTGGCATTTCCTATTCATTAAGAAGAATTATTTTGCAATTCTCACAATTTAACTTAAATTTTTAAGTGTTATAATTTCATCTCATCTAAATTTTTGTCTAATAACTATAAGCTAAGGTATTTTACATTGAATATCTTTTGCAATTCTCATAATTAACTGAAAAACATATAAATTTAATATTGATTCTTAATATAATTTTAGGTTATTTAAAAAATAATATTTTAAAATTCATGAATTTAAATTTTTTTTAGTTCTAATCAATAAAACTTTTAAATTTATTAAAGTAGAGATATAGCATTTTTCAATAATCAATGAATTATAAAAAATTTCATGATTTTAATAAATTTAAAATATTTATTGCATAATTATTTCATGCAGTATTCAATATCAGTATAAATGCTATATTACAAATTAAAAGGGAAAAATAATTTTTTTTTCAAATTTTGTTTAATATTTAGTTAATTTAGCCGAGTACTAATCACTGTTTTATTTAACCACTTGATTGCATTATCACTAACCATCTCAAAATTTTTTCCATTACTGAGTATTAAGGTTTTGTTCAGGACAATTTTCTTAATGCTTTCTACATTAGCTTTTGATATAAAAATTCTTTAAAAATAGCGAAAATATAGTGACAAAAAACTATCTCAAATAAAAATCTAAGTCATCCAACATTATTCCTCAATAGATCAATTAAATTGCCTCCAACAACATTCATAGATCCCTCCCTACCTCTCTTAATGCCTCCTTAAGCCTTCCCCTCCTCATGAAATGCTGGCTCTAAGTAGAGGTTTATAAAGCTGTTGCCTTTCTAATAAATTTATAAAATAGTCTTATAAATTCCAACAATTAATCACCATTACTTAATACCGGTCCCTCAAATATTCTTTTTTTTTTAATTTATCTTTGACGGATCATAACTAGAGCTTATTTCAAAATATCTTTGTGCTTCACCCAAATAAAACCCTGATTATACACACAATTAGGGCTAAAAAAACTCTCTTTTTTTGAGTGTTTGATCGTAATTAGCAAATGCTTCGTCAATGATAACAATACAAAAAGCATAGTCTACTAGAAAGAGCCACCACTCAAGAATGCACTTGCGTTGAACCAAAACCCCTAAGTTCCATCTGACCTTTGCAATGACACAACTTATATTTCATTTGGAACAGCTTTCGCACTGCTTCCTAAAACAGTTTTTTAATATAAAATTTTATAATTCAAAGAAATTATATTAAAAAATTATTTTATAAAGCAATAAAAAGCTTTCCCAAATGAAAGTCCTCGTTTGGGACGCCTTTTTTACTGCTTCTTGAAGCAACTTTCTAGCGCAAAAATTTTAATTTTTATACTAAAAAATTGCTTCGAGAAATAGTGAAAAAGTAATCCCAAACAAAACCTTAGTCTCCATGTTCTACCGCATAGTTTCTAATAGAGATAAGCACTTCACAAGAAGCCATAACCTCTCTACAATCCATATTTGTTAAACTAGAACTTAATCATTCTAAATCATTGAAATAAAAATTAAAATTTCAGCAAATGCATTAAGATATCAACATTCTACTAATAATACACATTTGGTGACAAATATTTTTTTTAAATGACTCAGATGCAAGTAACATAAATGCTTGCAAAAATCAGATTCCAAGTCAACCAATAAGGAAGATGGTAAATTTACAAGAAGCAGGCAGCCTAAGCCATGGTTACTATTTCACCGCGTACACCTGCAATTTTTTCAACAAAAGATACTTGTAATCGAAGAAGAATGCGAGCTTATTCATTCAATCTAAAGAAAAGAAGGCACAAAAGCTTACATCTTTCGAATATTTCCTTTGCTAACATGAGCAATGAATCCGTTTCCTCTGCCATCTTCGAAATCTTTTCTGCCTCCTTCACTGCTTCAGAAGCCAGAAATGCTTTGGCTTCTGCGTCAGCTATTTTGTACGCAGCAGTGATTGCGGCTTCCTCAACTGGATCTAAAGGTTTAGTAAAGCCAGAAGCTTGAGGCGGCTTCGAGCGGTTGGCTGGTTCCTTTTGCTTTTGTGTGGGAGTTTTTGTTGCGAAGGAAGGTTCTTTGAGCTGGTATCCCTTTGGACCCTGCATTCCAGTTCATGGGTGAAAACTTTGTGTAAAACAAAAAGAATCATACCGAGTTTTTTTTTTTACAAGGCTTTATGAGATGTTGGTCTAGGTCCTTTGCAGTTGGATAAATTATTCTGTGCGGACACCAGACGCAGCTTATCATCTAGAGACGAATCAGCCACGTCATCCGGTACCGAGCAGTCTGAGCCGCTATACTAAACAGGAGTTGACGTGGCGCATTTTCATTGGGCTCCGGACAACAGAATAATTTTTCCTGCAGTTGGGCGATGACGGCAAATGTGCAGTTACGTGATCCAATGCAATTACCCGCACAACTAGACGATTTTGACCCATGAGCCGATGCAGAGCATTTTAGTTGCCATAGTCATCATCATCGTAGAGTGTAGTTCTCGTATCTAGAACAAGTCTTTGTATTTTATCATGTGCCTAAGTCCTAAGACATGTCTAATTGCATTTAATTTTTTTTTTTTCTATACTTCTATTTTGATGGACCCTTATGTTGTCAGTTTTTATTCATGTTGTATTTAGGCCTATGTGTGTTAGATCATTTTTTCATCATGGCCCATGTTGAACCTTTATATTATTAGGTTAGTTTGATGGAAGATATGAATTTACTTGTAGATTTAAATTTAGTGTTAGGTATAAAATTTGGTATTTATCTCTTAGACCTACAATAAAGTTTCTCTTGAATGTAAAGCACTTGCTTATGAATAAGAAAAACCCACATTGCTTCTATTGTCACATAACGTGCTTCCTACCCAAAGAAGATGACTAAGAGTGAGCTCACAACTCATGGAGGACTTCCAAGAAAAGAACAAGATCATCATAACGAATAACTATTCATTGAGGTTAGCTTCAATTACCTCACTCTGCCACTTATAGTTTTAAAACCACCATGGCTAGTCCACTCTTTGCTGAACATTGTCCAACTTTACTATTAAATGGCTATTCTTAGTTAGTTAGCATAATCACTTGCATTATCATAGTTCATTACTAGTTGAATCATCTATTGCCAAGTAAATCCACCAGTAAAAGGTTTATTATATCTCATATAATTTCCTAATGAATTAAATTGAAATCTTTGGATCTCTTTGCAACTCACTTTCATATTTGATATCAAAATAAAGTATATTTTCTTGAAAACTTCTTCTCATGTGTTGATTTCTTTTTTGTTGGCATTAGATTGTGTTGTTAGATTCATTATTATTAGCTTATCAACGATTTATCAAAGCCAAGTAAGAAATTGCAGATCATCACTTCATTTAATTCTGTAATTATGTTTTAATTTCATTGCATTTGCATATAACTTTAAAAAGAGCATATCAAATTTCTACACTTATTGATCTCCTATCACAGCTTTGTATATTGGCTATATTTTTGTCATTTCTAATACGATTTTTAAGTTGTCAATTTTGATCAACTCGATATCTCTATAACTTTCTCTTATTCTGCCAACTAGAACTTCAAAAGCACCAAAAACCCCAAGAGCACTAACAAAATTTCTGCTTCAAATCAAGTTGTTTTGATATTTTCAAGATGTCTACTCAAAGAGTGCATCCATATCAAGTTTCAAATCGTAATACAAAGGATGATATCACTCATTTTGCAAGAGAATGTAGAGCACCTCACCCTCCTAATCCAGCAGACATCTCATGAGTTTAAGGCAAGGTTTCAAATATAGATAACCAAACAGATGGAAATCATGAACATAACCCCACACCACAACATCCAATATGAGGAAGGCGAACCCTGCTCGTACTTAGGACAAGTCTTTGCATTTTATTCTCATGAACCTGAAACATCTGACTGTATGTAATGTTTTCTATATTTTTATTTTGATGGACCCGTGCTTGTCAGGTTAACGTCATGTTGTATTTTGGCCTATGTGTATTGGATCATCTCTTTGTCATGAGCCATGTTTGACCTGTATATTCTTAGATTTGATGCCATATATGAATTTACTGGTAGGTTTAAAAGAGTACAACAACAACAATATCAAGCTTTTGTCCCACTACGTGGGGTCGGCTACATGAATTCTTTTTCGCCATTATGTCATGTTAAAAGCCAAATTCTCATTTAAATCTACTAAAGAAATATCATTTCTAATATTTTCTAACCAAGCCTTCTTAGGTCTACCTCTACCTTTCTTAACATAAGTCAAATCTAATACCTCAACTTTATTAACCGGATTATCAGAAAGCCTCCGTTTAACTTGACCAAACCATCTAAGGCAACTCTCTCTAATCTTATCTTCCACTGGAGCTACTCCAACCTTTTCACGTATATGCTCATTTCGTATCATATCTCTAAGGGTAAAGCCACTCATCCACCTAAGCATCCTCATCTCTGCAACACTTAACTTAGTATTATGCTTCTCTTTAAAAGAGTGTGAGGTATAAATTTTGGTTTCATATTTCTTTCAACAGAGTCTCTTGATATGTAAAGTACTTGCTTATGAATGAGAAAAAAAATGCATTGTTTCTATTTTAACATTGCGTGCTTCCCACCCAAAGAAAATGAGCGTGCAACTCCTAAAGGACTTCCAAGAAAAAAATAAGATCATCATGATGGACTATTCGTTTTAAATCCACCATGGCCAGCCTACTCTTTACTAAACACTATACATTTTTACTATTATATGGTTAGAATTCTTAGCATTATCATAATTCGTTACTTGTTGAGTCAATAGTTGCCAAGTGAATCCACGGGTAAAATATTTATTATAGCCAATGTGAATACCTAAAAATTTGAAGTGAAATCTTTGTACCTCTTTGCAACTCATTTTAGCTTAAATCTCATTTATCCTACATCATATTTGTTATCCAAGAAAATTCCCTCAACAACTTCTAGATGTGTTATCAACTAGAAGAATATCATCAAGAAGAATATCATTAGCAAAAAGCATACACCAAGGTACATCCTCTTGCAAATGTCTAGTGAGAACATACATGACTAAAGCAAAAAGATATGGGCTAAGGCTGATCCTTGATGTAACCCAACCGAAATAGGGAAAAACTTGGTCAAACCACCTAGTGTTTGAACACAAGTAATAGCTCATGCATACATATCTTTAATGATTTGAATATAAGCATTATTAACTCCTTTCTTTTCAAGAACTCTCCATAGCACTTCTCTTGGAACTTTATCATATGCTTTTTCTAAATCAAGAACTCTCCTTATTTTCTCTATATTTCTCCACCAAACCTCTTAATAAATGTATGGCTTCCATAAGTCGACCTACCGGCTGATCATTGATTTTTGAAGAAACATTAAGTATCACGCCGCATATGTCATAACTCGCTCCCATAGTTTATAGTATGACTTAACTTATTCCCTATATTCGCACATTTTTTGTGCATCACCTTTTATTCTTAAAAATAGGTAATTAACCACTCATTCTCCACTCTCTGACATATTTTTAGTCTTCAAAATAGTATTTAAAAAGTTTAAGAAGCCAGACATTCCTTCAGCTCCTAAGCATTTCCACACCTTTATTGGAATATCATCAGGTCCAAAAAGCTTTACCACCCTTTATTTTCTTTAAAGCCTCTCTAACTTCGTTTTATTAATACGCCGATAAAAACAAAAATCTTTATTTTCATTAGGGTGCTAAGGTTCTATTAGTCAATCTTATTTTCATAATTTTCATTAAAAAGTTTAGCAAAAATACTTATCCACCTTCGTGAATATCATCTTCTAAGAAAAGTTTTTTTGATCTTCATCCTTAATCACTTCACTTGAACTAAATCCTTACAACTTCTATCTCTTTGCTTGACTACTTATACATATATTTTCTCCCTCCTTAGTATATAATCTTTATATAAATCACTAAAGCTAAGGTCTTTGCATCGCATATTACTTTTTAGATTCATTACAGCTCTCTTATATCTTTCCCAATTATCAAATTTTTAAAATTAAACCAATTTTTATAACAAATTTTTTTTATTCTTAATCTTTTCTTGCACATTTTGATTCCGCACCAAACTATTTTTACTTATATGAGTTTTCCCTTTGATACTCAGTACATCTTTTGCAATATTTTATAACCTAGCACTTTTTCCCACAATAACATTAGCATCTCGTACATAGATAAATTTAAGATCTAAATCTTATCTGCAAAAATATTTTTGTTAATTTAAATGCTCTCATCTAATCCTAGAATATCCGTTTAACTTTATTTTTTTTATTATCTGCCCCTTTATCTTAAAGTCAAAACTAATAATCGATGTTGGGTACAAAATTTTCACTCGGAATACTTTACAATCTTTGTAATCTAAACGATCTAATTTTCTTATAAGAAAATAGTCAATCTGGGTTGTACTATAATCCATTTTTATAAGTGATGAGAATGCTCATTCTTTTTCTTAAATAAGGTTTAGCAATTGAAAAATCATAAGCTAAACAAAAATCAATATGATTTTGCCACCTTCATTTGTTGTTTCCAAAATCCATAGCCACCATAAATGCTTTTAAAATCATCTACCACTCTACCAACATGTTCCATTTAATCTTCTCCAATAAAAACTCTTTCTTCTAGAGGTATCTTCTGCATAATTCTTTAAGTCATTCCAAAAATTTAATTTAGAAACTCATATCCAACCTACTTGAGGAGCATAAGCACTTAAAATTAACAATCTTATCAATCAACAACAATCTTAAAGATAATTTATCTCCAATCTATTAATTTTTATACATTATCCTTTCAAATTCTATCTATAATAACACTACACATTTCTAGTAGACTCCTACCGCGAATACCAAAGTTTAAATCCTAACTATCAATTTCCTTAGCCTTCTCTTCAACCATCTAGTTTCCTGAATGCACAAAATATTTATTTCCTATGAATTATAATATTATATTAATTCAATTAATTTTCATGGTAAGGGAACTTATTATTCAAGTTCTATCCTAATTTTAGTATCATGGACTAGCTCTTTGCCCACATCCGTCTTTGATGTGGAACCCTTTGCCTATTTAAACACGACCCGGGCGCCGGTGCAAGAGCGGCCCTTGCACACTTGTCATTGTATTCAGGCCATACAGCGCTCGTTCCAGGGGACGCCCTAGCATTACCAAATTTTTAATATTCATGTATTAATTATTCGACAATTTTACGCTGGCTGTCGACTACCTAACGCAAACCCTAGCATTAACACTATGATTCATGAAACTAAAAAAAAACTAAGCCAACTAATGTTAGATGTAGACCGGTCCAGTCCGGTCCACGCGGGACCGGTCCACGGGAGAACGGGCGAGTCTCCGCTCTTCCGTCAGCCGCCGCACGCAAGCTCCACGGAGCGTTTTAGGAAGGATTTTTTGGGGGTTTAAGAGACAAATTTGAATGTTAGGGACTGTTTAGGATTCCTTTTGATTTGGTATGCATTAAATAGTTGGTTTTCCTAGGGTTTGAGTATCTTGAATTTGGTTGAAATTTGAGATCTCTTAGATTTAGGTTTTCTTTGGGCTCTAGCGGCGTCTAGAGATTTGGGAGAGATCGATCCTCCTCTCGAATTGAGGATCAATTGTATCTTGCTGTTTTTATTCATCTACTAGTGAAATACAAGTGCTCTATTGGTTTCTCTACAAGATCTCTCTCCGTTTTCCTTGTGTTTTCACTGTTTTTGGCTGAATTGCTGCTGTGAACAGCAGTTTCCCTGCTGTAGTGCTTATTTTTGGGTAGATTTGGTTGTGCAAACAAGTATTTCCTATCACTATAGAATTGTAAAAGTTATAGGTGAAGCCTCTTGCCAACATAACCATACTTATCGCATAAAAAGCCTCCTGATACTAGATTACCCAAGGTCAACAACCCAACATAAGAACTCAAATAAAATAAGTCTCCAACATAAAATATGGTTGAACCACAATAGTAAACCATGTCTTTAGAATAAGATATCAACATAGGGACGCAAATATGGACGCCCAATGACTCAATTAGTTAATTATAACTAAAACTCAATACAAATTCAAATGTTAAAGACTCATGAAACTATAAAAAAAAAACACTAAGCCAACTAGAATGTTGTAAAGTTATAGCTGAAGCTGCTTGTCAACATAACCATAAAGTCGCATTAGAAGCCTCCTGATACTAGATTACCCAAGGCTAAAAACCCAACAGAAGAACTCTAATAAAATAAGCCTCCAACCACAATAGCAAACCATGACTTAAGGAATAACGTATCAACATAAGCATGTGAATATTGGCTACCAACGACTCAATCAGTTAATTGTCACCAAAGCTCAAAACAAATTCAAATTTTAAATACAATTTCAAAATTTTATTTACTTAAAGCTCAAATTTTAAACTTAACATCGTAACACAAACAGGTTGCATTTTTATGATTGCAGACATTGGGATCATGGTTTATGCTAAGAAAGGTAGATGTAGACTAAAATATTAGAAATGACCCTTCTTTATTAGATTTAAATTAGAATTTGTCTCTTAACGGGATACAATGGAGAAAAAAGATTCATCTAGCCAACCCCATGTAGTGGGATAAAGGCTTGATGTTGTTGTTGTTGTGTTGTTGTTGTAGGCTTTGGGATTCACATCAATTTACATACAAATATACAAATACCAATTAACACCAAAACTATCATATTTATTAAAACACTGGTGAATAAAAAAATGAACTAATAGTGGTTCTCATACCATTTTCAAATCCATCTAATTGAGTGCATTATATGTACTTTATTGGTACAAGTTAAAGAATGAAAGAGAATAATTCATCATCCAAAAAACTAATGGTGTTAAGTGCTAAGCCCATGACAATGAAACTTCGAATTAAAAAGTACACTATACAAGTATCATAATCAAGGAAGAATATTACAGTGTACTGGGAGAGAAATTACCTTCACGATCTTATTTTGTGCAACGAGTCTTCTCAGTTTTGAACCTAATAACCTTCTAAAACCTGAAGGTATCTCCATTCTTTGCTGAAAAATATCAAGTTATTTTTTCATATAAAAAAAAAAAAGACAATCAATGTACCAAGAAAAGAAAGTCTCCTAAATATTTGTAAGATAAAATTAATCAATATTTGATAAACATAATTATAGGAAATCAACGCAAGGCAATCTAGAGTCATCTTGTCAAGAATGCTCAGCTAAATACAATATTGTAAAGGTCAGACCGGTCAGCCAATTCACATGGTTCAACAGAGAACAATATATTAGTCTAGTCCACTTAACTATAAAAATCATATGCCACATATTATAAGCTAGAATAGTTAGCGCTTGTTAGTCCAACTGATTGATCCAACTAGGGCTGCAAACGAACCGAACCGAGCCGAGTATGTGAGTGTTCATGTTTGAGTTTGTTTATTATTAGCTTGTTCAAGTTTGGTTTGTGTTTGATTCGAGCTTTATTGTTTGTGTTCATGTTTGGTTCGTTTAAATTAATGGTGTTCATGTTCGGTTCATGTTTGATTCGTTTAGTGCTTATCGAACTTTAAACAAATAAGCCTTAATTAACAAGCTTTGTTCATAAACATATTTAGCAAATTTTTTTACACTATCAAACAAGCATGTTCATGAACAATTCTATGAGTATTCTTGTGCTATCAAATGAGTAAGGTCATGAATATATATACATAACTAGTATTTTCAAGCTACCAAATGAGCTCGTTCACGAATAAACGATTTATCTTAAATTTGTTCAAGAACATCTTAAACAAACAATCTAGCAAACATTGACAAATGTGAAACGTCTTTTGTTCTTGAACAAAATCATTCTATTAAAGGTATAAAATAAAATGAAATTAATTTTTTAATAAAAGGTAAAGTGAAAATTTCATATGATTAATCTATATGAATATTTTTTATAGAGCTTATTCACGAGTTCTAAATCGAACATGAATCGAGCTTAATGTCGAGCTTGTTCACTACCTTCAAATGATGTTGTTCGTGAACATAAATGAACCAAACACATTAGTGTTCAAGCTTATTTATTTAAAGATCGAGTAATAAAAATGTTGTTCAAGTTTCTTTGTTTAGTAGTTAAACGATCACAAACAAGCTTTAATCGAATCGAGCAACGAGTAGCTCATCAACAGGCCTTTCTATAGTCATTTCATTCTCCCTGGCACTCTCATATCCCACTCTGTTGCATCTCACATGTACATCAATGCTTAAAAAAAAATTCCTAGTTTCAATTCCATGATTAATCATGCATACACATAGGCAGAGAAGATCAAGGAGCAATTGAAGGATCCTAGTTAATCTGTGGGTTGCTGTAGCTCCAACTGCTGCAAAGGAGAAAGAAAAGAAGAGCCTGCTCAGGAATATGATGATGATATATGTTTTAACCTGTTCGCCTAGGCTTGGCTTGTGATATAAAGAAATCAAATTTCACTAATAAATTATTAGAGCAACTATCTCTGGGTTATTCTATTTAGTTAATACTCTATTTCAAGAATTTTGAGATTCTGAATTTCATCATCCTTATTAGCAGCTTGAGGATAATATTATGCTTGAGTTAGCAATTGTGTACGCCATGAAAAAAAAAAGCCTACACATGCATCCAACATAATCAAAATTTAAGAGTTCAATCTCAAGAATAGCATAGTGATTTGGGTTGATTTTGCCGTCGTATTTTGGAGGCTTCTGTGATTACTTTTGGGTGGTTGTTACTGTTCACAGCCAGATGAATTGAAGACTTTGTTCTATGACTAACTTGACTTAGAAGCTGTTTTAGGATTTGCATAGTTCTAACGGGTTTTGGCTTTAGCGGTGATGAATGGTCCACTATCATGTGACTAAAGTGATCCATAGGTTTCTTTTCTTTCCTAGATTCCCGGTATGACCGAGTTTTAGAGGAATATTGTCTTGCAGGTTGTCTAGCGGATTGAAGAGATTTGGTGGAATCTTATCTCTGGCGCAGGGTCTCAGCAGAAGTTATACCTTTCAAATTAGGGGATCATTACTGCTGACTTTTATTTATTAACTTTAAGCCCAAGGGGACTTTGTGATTAGAAGAAGGGGATTAGAGGCATGCAAACTCAATCAAGTTATTTATATTCTTCTAGTATACTTCTTGATAAGTTGGGAGACTGAACATTCCAGAATAGGTTATCTCCATATACAAACATGATGCCTGATTCAATAACTTTCCTAATTCATGATATCTTTTTCTAACACTCAATATTGGTTTCAACAAAAGATTGATTAATTTCAAGTTTGATAAATCCAAAATTTATACAAGTGACTGATTTTTAATTAGTTACATGATTTTCACTATTTTAAATTCTAAAGGTTATTTCTAGTAGAAACCATTGAGTTATCATGTGAATTAATTCTCATATTTTTCATTGCCATTGAAGAACAAATAATTATTAAGAGTAAAAGGTTGAGATTTGAGAATTTGTGTATATTTGGATATGAGAATACTAAAACTACAAAGTAACAAATTTGACTTTTCAAGGCCTTCACTCACCATTAAACACAAGAAGTCTTGTCCAACAACCCAATAAATTGAGGCAATTTATTATTAAAAGTAATGAGATTTAAAAAATATAAAATTCTATAATCATTAATCCAAAGCCCTTTGCAATACATCCATTAATTCCCCAGCATCCCAAACAATTGATCTAGAGTTCCCATCCTTTTTACTAACAAATTTGACTTTTCACGTCCTAAAAGTTCCAGCCCCAAAGCAGTCCAAAACCCTTAATTTCCTTTCCCCCAATACTCATATAACACTTCACCAACACCCCAAGGGACCCAATCAAGTTATCTCATTAGATTCTATATCACATCGTCTTGGTTGTCCTTAATTAGGAATTTAAAAATTATGTTTTCATCTTTTTTTAAAGGAGTTGATGTTAAATCTTTTAATTATGACATTTGTGAATTTGCAAACAAAATCGTGCATCTTCCCCAATTAGTACAAAAGAATTTATATTTCCTTTTACTTGATTCCAACTAGAACTAAGAGAATTTATATTTCCTTTTTACTTGATTCATTGTAGCACATGGGCCATTCTACTATTCATGATGTAAAATGTACAATGATTTGTTTCTTTTATCAATAATTACACTAAATTATCCCGATTTTCTTATAAATTAAAATCTGACGTGAGTAACATCCTTTCTACTTTACATAATAGATCATGAAATAACTTAGGGTGAAAATAAATTTAAAAAAAAAAAAAAACATATCTGGTAATACTAAGGACTACTTTAATCAAGTATTTTCACCATATTTTCATAAGGGAGACATAATTCATGAATCTTCATATATTAAAATTCTTTAACAAAATGGTGTTACAAAAAGAAAAAAATAGTTACTAACTAGTCGCAGCTGGAGCTTTGTTATTCAAATGTAATGTCCAATATCATTAGGAAGAGGTAGTCATTACAACTAGTCACATTATATATAGACAACTTAAGTTCCAAAGTTCAAAACATCAATGAAAGTACTCTCTTAATTTTATCTCAAATTGATCATCACAAACAATCTTACAGAAATATTTGGTTTTAACTTTTACCATTTTTGTGCACAGTTTTTTTTTTTTTTTTTAAATGTGCACAGTAATAATAGAGGAAAGCTTAACCTCGGAGCAAGTGTATCTTTACGACCATCAACTTATTAAAATTATTAGTTTATGTTGCTGTACTTCTAAAGAAGAAGACCTTTATTTGCCCAACATTATTTTCAGGGGGAGTTCTATTATAAAATATGATGATAGAAACCTCTTCTTTGGGCCCATTTTTCTCATCCACATCTTTATCAACTCGTAACAACATTGTCCCCACACATCCCCCCCTCAAGAAGAAATTGAATTATTTCCTCACACTCATAACTCAAAAATCCCAAATCATGCACTTAGAGATATAAACAGGTGTATTCAAGATTGATTGCTCCAATTCTTAAAGCAATATAGGTCAAGAACCTTCCCCAAATCTTGAAAATGAGGTAATTACAATTTCTGAGCCCACCTCCCGATGGAAACCTAAAGATGAAAGTGATGATACCGACTTATCAATTACAATTTAAGAAAAACAAAATGGAGTTTACCAAGCACCCTCTCAATCTCACAAAGTATGATTTGAGACATTTTCATCATCACAGATTTTCTTATGAACCTAAACACCACTTCAATCTCTAAAATATTATCAGAGGCATTGTGATAGGAAACACTTGGATTTCCAAGTGTTTCACACCAAAACCAAGAGGATCCAAAGGAAAAACTGCTGTCCACAGCAAATCCCAAAGAGTGGAGATGGAAGCCTAGGCGAAGAACAAAATCCGGCAGATCATCAAGTTGACTCAAGGAAAGAAATTCATAGGGTGAAAATAAATGTTTACAATGAAATATAAAGTTGATGAGCCCTTGAAAGATATAAAGCAAGATTAATAGAGAAAGAATACACTCAAACATGTGCAGTAAATTCCAAAAGATATTTACTCCAATTGCAAAGATGAATACAGAAAGTCTTATTATCCCTGGCTATAAACTTTTATTGGGATTTGCAATAGTTTGAAGTTCAAAATGCATTCCTTCATAATAATTTAGAAAAGGAAATCTATACGAAATTTCCCTTAAATTTGGGAGAAGTCTTGAAACTTACAAGGTAAAAAAACTAAGGCTTCGTTTGTGTTAGCTTTAGACCACTGTTTTTTTCTTGCTTTCAAAAAATATTTGTACTAAAAAACAGCTTTAGAAAGCAGTAAGAAAGCCATCCCAAATGAAGCCTAAGAAGAGCAATGTATGATATCAAATATTCACCTAGAGCTTTGTGTGGTAGATCCTAAAAAATAATTATGGTCACTAGTTATAAGTTAAGAGGGTGACACCTTATTCATTTAGTACTCATATACAAGGGGAGTCATGGCATTATTCATGTATGCTGATATAATTGAAACAAGAAATTTATGAGACAAAATCTATAAAACAATATTTGATCAGAGAATTTCAGATAAAAACAACTACAAAATTCCAATTATTTTCTAGGAATTGAGGTTGCTTACTTATATCAAATGATCTTAATTTTCTATCCTAATCTATAGAAGGGAAAAAAAAAAAGGAAAGATGGCTTGTAACTTACTTAGACACGAATTGACTGAAATCATAAACTTGAAGTAAACTAAGGCCCTATGGTAAATACAAAAATGCATAAAAGGTTAGTGGGAAAACTTATTTTACATAAATGAAGCTGAATATGCCTTTACGCTCCGATTGTGATAAGTTAATCCAGGCATGCTCAGAGGAACGTTCACCACTAGGATGTCTATCGAATTCTTCATTACTTAAAAGATAATCCTAAAAGAAGAATGAAGATGTTGGCTATGCATATTAAGGTGTAACTGAACTAAGCCAACTCAAGAGTCAGCTTAAGCTCGGCTCAATAAATTGCTTATGAGATGAGCTCAATAAGCTAATGAGTCAAGTTTGAACAAACCCTAATCGACTCATTAATATTTCAGTTAGCTCATTTGAGAAAAAGAGACAATGTAAAATATGCTTATAATATATTAGAATTTAATAATTTGGAGTTATTATAAATATATAAAATTTCACTTTCTTATCTTGAGTGATTTCTCCACTAATTTTTCATTATTTTTATCACTTTATTACAATAGTCGCTAAATATTTCTCTATTTTATTATGATATAAGTTCTAGATTTGAAGCTAGATGTAAAAGTGGAGAGCAACCGGGCGGTATGATGTCAAAAGGAACATCATAGTGAATTAAAAGTACATTTTACAAATTTGTAATCAGGCTAATCATGTTTTATGGATCAGAATGTTAATCAATAGTTATTAATTAAAAAAGTAAAGTGTTGCAAAATTTAGAATGTTAACATGGGTGTAGTGAAATTAAGAAGATTAAGTTTTAAAATTATTAATTTAAAGATATGCAATTGTGACATCTATCAAATATAAGATGGTGAAAATTAAATTTATATAATTTGACTATGTAGAATGAAGACTTGAAAATATATCAATAAGATGGATGTATTAAATTAATGTCAAAATAACAGAAAAAAAGATGGATCAAAGGTAATTTGGAAAGGGTTGATTAAGATAAGAACATTCACGTTTTTCTTCAATATTTCAAAACTAAAAGCGCTAATCACATGATAAAAACGTCAAATAAAATGACAAACTGTATGAGAAAAGAGCCAACATTTTTACAAACAATATTATGTAAAATTGAATTTCATAGATGAAAGAGCATATATGAATTCCTTGTTTAGTAGTAATGATTGTATGATTTCTTGCATACTATGAATCCTTAATACCACGCTATGATATTATGAGCTCATCTTAAGCAGTGATTCTTCCACAATGAAAAATCCATCCAATTTACAAAGCATTATTACTTTATTCTTTAGGCATCAATCTTAGTACATAATTGTGCTAGATGCCTTGCTTCTAGATGATCTTTGCATGCAAATTAATGCATATCAATGCATATCAATGCATCACCATAAATGAGACTAAAAAAAATTCATTCAACCTTGTATTGCATTTAATTTTGTTTTTATTTACATTGAAATCGCATTAAAACCCAAGACTTTGATACGTTCTACGTTAATAAGGTTGCAAACATGTCACCAAAGAAAAATATGAAAGCAAAAAATAAAAAATAAAAATAAAAATAAATCATGAAATTTAGTATTCTTTGTTCAAATAGACTATAGCATTGAAGATACTCAAGAATCATATTAAAAGCAAGAGCAATGGAAAAACAAATAAAGGAGTACTCAGGAGTGGAAAAAATGTCATCTAGATAAAGTACTATGCAGCTAACCTCGATGTATTTGCAAATTGCACCAATTTCAGATCCATTGGGTTCATGAAGCACTGTAAGAGCTTCCATTATTATCGCATTGTACCTAGTTGTCATGAATAAAATCAAAAGTCACAAGGGCATCCATCATCATCATCATCAAAATCAGTTCATCCCAATTATTTGAGTTCAACATTATGAATCCTTCTCCATCCATTTCTCCTGGATGCTGCGTGTAATGTTTCCTTCAGTTTATGTATGTTTTCCTCCACAAAATCTACATAATTTATCTTAATTCTATCCCTTTTTTCCTTCTTAAACCTAATAAACAAAGTAACATGTATCTCCCAAATCCCAACATACAAAAGGTTGAAAAAGAAGGAATTGAAATGAGGCAAAAGTGAATTGTAAGTGAATAAATATTGAGAAACATTGACCAAGTCACTATGACAGTATGACTTGAACTGACAGTATTTGCAAGGCTTTCTTAGGACCAACATGAGTTAGCTGATAAGATGTGCGGTCAAGAAACATAATAAGCAAAATAATAATAATATTAAAATAAGCTTTACCTGCTATGCATCCTTGCACCCAAAAAGGATCGGAAAATAAAGAATGTTAACACAAAATATTAGCATAAGGTACAAAAATCGATATAATAAACCGTTCTTGATCAAAATATATACCTTTATGAATAACTAAGTTTTAGCATTCGAAAACATAGGTACAATTAGCTGAGATTAATGCAAGCAAGTGCAGTCAGACCCCAAAAAACATTAGAAGAAAGTTCAGTAAATATTAGAAAAAAGAAGCTCCGAAGCATCATTAGCAAGTTTTAGTCACTCAATACCTTAAAACTAATACTGGCTCCAAGAAACCTTTATACCTCTGCCTTCCTTTGGGGCGCTTTCATCCCCAACCCAAGACATGATCTCTCATCCATAACCCCTCAATTCGTCAAAGTCACATACAAACAGGCCAAATTTGTGAGGGACTAGTAGCTGATGATATTTTCATGATATAAATATCCTAAAAGATTATATCATTCATTATATAGGTATCCAATAAGACAATAGCAGGATCGTTATCAAGTTTTTATATTTATGAACTAATTATGGAGATACTTACAAAATATATTATAAGTGAGGTACTAGAGTGTTTGCTATTTGCAAATGTCATTGTTCTAACGCTGAGACCTAATTGATGTAAGTTCCAAGTTAAAAAAAATGGAAGAAATGTTAGAAGAAAAGGGACTTTGAAAGGCTAAATACATGATATGCAATTTTAATGCGTGGAATCGATTAAAATAGTCAGTCGTTAGAACAAATATTGCTAAGGAATGATAAAATTAAATATCTTGGATCTATCACAAAAATGAACTAGCACATAAATAAGGATACAACTTTTAAAATCAATATATGATAATTATATTGGAGAAATACCGTGGGCATAGTCTGGCATTGGAGTTATAGTCTGGAGACTTAAATTTTTTTTTATAATTTTCCCTTAATGAAGCCAGACTGATATTCTGGAGACTTAAATTAAATATTAAAAATACAAAAATTAGACTAGCTATGCTATATAGATCCAAATGTTGGGTGATAAAAAAAATCAATAACAAGCAAGTCAAGTTTGGCATAAATGAGAATTTGAATATGGACATACGGCAAAAATTATAAAGATAAATTGAGAAATGATGTATAAGAATGATTGTAGGAGTAGCATCCATTGAAAATAAAGTTAAAAAATAAACTTAGGTGGTTTGGCATGTATAATAAAAGGAAAATGATAAATTAGACAACAAAAGTAAAATATAAGTGACTTTTAGAATTCTTACTAAATATACTTTAGTCTAAGAACAAGGTTCCAAACAATCTTGGATCATGAATTTAGAGTATGACACTTAGTACTATGAATGCATTAGATGAAGGGAGGGAAAAAGGTATGAAAGCTGCAAACTTATTTATATAAAGGGTCTTTTGTATCAAAATTGGCTAGAGATATTTTTGAAGTTCTAATAAAGTTAACATTTCAGCTTTTTTTTCTTTTCATTTGCTAAAACTTTGTCTCAAGTTTGGATCTCTCCTCTATTGAGTACATGAAAGAAATAGTGAAGGAAACAGAAGCTGAAATGGCAGACAATGAAGTATAGAGACCAAATAACCAAATCTAAAATATATCTTAATTATGTTGTTATGCTTTCAAGAATTTTGGCCATTATGCTTCTGAATACTATAAAGAAGATGGAAAACTGCTAACTTTATCGAAAAGAATAGAATGTCTTTTTTTTTTTTGTTAATTGCCTATAAAGAAGAATATTGAAAACAAAATAATCGTTATTGATATGAGTAATCATGTATACATCTTCATGTATTGATATGAGTAATCATGTATACATCTCCATAAACATGTTTGTGTAGTTTGAAGAGAAGAACAAAATCTTAGTGTTTATTAAAAAATTCTTGTGAAAGAAAAGTAATAATTCTTATACTCCATAAAGAGGGAATACCCAGTTCATATCAAATGTTTATTATTTATCAAACAAAAGAGAAATATATTAAGCTTGGGGTAATTATATGACAAAGCTAAAACATTCACATAAAAGATAAGATGCTATCTAAATGAATTGATCGCATAATAAATATGAAAATTAATAAAATGTTTACTTTATAATTAGTGATGTGATGAAGTGTTTGAAAGTTCGTGTAAAAGATGCCTCGTGACTTTGGCATTTTAGGTTTGAACATCTTAAGTTAAAAAAAATCACACTATCATGTCAAGTAAAAAATTAGTGAATAGATTAATACTCATAAATCATCCAACTCAGCTTTTTTTAAGGCCTGATGGCACCACTATTTAAAAACAACCAAGAAAATATTTTCCATATGAAGTAAATTTTTGAACAAAGTCACTCAATTAGTTCACACAAATGTTTATGGACCAATTACCATGTCATCTTTCATATGGAACACTAATTTCTGAATTATATTTGATTATGCGAGGAAGGCATGAGTGAACTGTTTGAAGGAGAAATCAAAAGCCATTAATATGTCAAGAAAAGCACGATAATTATGCTGGTAATTCAATTAAAACCATCCAATCAATCATGGGGGAGAGTTCACATTCAAAGCATTTTAAGATAATTACAACAAGCAATGGCGTTTGGCATCAATTAATAACACCCTCTCTCCACAACAAATGTTTATGGAGACCAATTGCCATGGCATATTTTCACGAGGATCACTATTTTCTCAATTGTATTTGATTATGTAAGTGAGAATTCATTGAGTTACTTGAAAAGAAAATCAAAGCGTTTAATATGTCAAGACATGTACGACAGTTATGTTGGTTATTCAATTAAAATCATTTGATCAAATCATGGTGGAGAGTTGGCATCCAAAACATTTGAGGATAATTACAGCAAGCATGGAATTTGGCATAAATTAATAGCACCCTTTCTACACAATGAAAGGGCATTGCAGAAAAAAAAAAACAAATTATTCTAATCAATTGTGAAACATGATTAAAAGCAATAACATGCCAAATGAATTATGGCTGAAGCGATGGGTTTCTTTGTATACATTATCAATTGGTGTCCCACATCAAGTGTGACAAATACAACAACACAAGGACTGTAGACAAGAAAAAAGCTGAATACCTATCAATTAAAGGTCTCAGGTAGATGAAGAACACTCAAACCTCATCTTCTTCTGATATAAATCTAGAGCCTATAAATTATTTGAGCTTAACAATTCAAGTTGTTATAAGTACATGTATGCAATTTAACATAAGAGCTTGGGGTTGACACAAGAAAGTCAAAGTCATTTAAGATGAAGATACACATGGAGCATCAAGACCCTTACCACCATCTTCACCAAAACTATACACCACCAAATTTAGAAAGTAACCCCATACCACAAAAGACAACAAGATTAATTGAGCTTTATGAGGAGACCCAGGAATTGCATCTTGTTTGTCCTTTTGTAATAATGATTATTTAGAATTTATAGATGCCATAAAGATGAAAGATATGATTTTTTAGGGGGAAAAGGCCTTTGGGAAGAATCATACATGAGAACTAACATCTCTTCCCAAAGGACATAGGGCCATTAGGGTATGCAAAACAAAGAACAATACAAAGTGAATTTGAAAAATAGAAAGCATGATTGGTGATCACTGATACAAGCTTAAAGCTAGACTTTACTACAATGAAGTATCGTTCCATCATTCGCATGGGAATTGGGAACTATTCTCTTAATACTTTCTATTGATACAAAAGGTAATAGGCTTATTTTCAAATGAATGTAAAATTTAATTTTCTAAATGTTTTTATTGAAGTGCTCGATAAGCAACCCTTAAGATATAATGAAAAGGGTTATGAATAAAAAGAATATAGGTTAAAGAAGGCCTTGCATGGCATGATGTAAGCACCTAGGGCAGAAATGCAAGAATCAAAACCCACTTAAAAGTAAAATATTAGAACACAACGTCCATATGAAATTGTAATTTACATGAAGTTGACAAAGAATAGTGACATTTAAATTTTTATTTTTTTAATGTGGATGATCTTATTTGTACAGGCAATAATCCATTTCTATTCAAAGAATTCAATAGAAAATATTATAGGTGTTAGAGATAATGAACACCAATTAATGTCTTATTTATTTGAGATTAAAGTCAATAAAAATAAGATGGTCATTTATAACACACAAAAAGCATATGTATAAAAATTAAAAAAACTTTAGAAGTGGATGTTTCCAAATTAGTTGGCACAACGATAAAATGTGGCATCACATTATGAAACATGATAGCAAGGCAGTGGAACCAACCTGTTTCAAAAGTTTACTTGGACTGAGATATGTAATATGCATATAAGACCAAACATGCATGAAGACTATTAATTGGATATTTGGAAGATCAAACATTTGTGCATATAAGTGCCACTTGGTTCATTCTTTAGTTCGAGCTTAAGTTAACTTATAACAGATCAAATGGTACTTGATGCAATATTATAAACCTCCTTAAGTTGAGCCCGAGTTAACCTAGGGACACCATTGAGATTATCTAACTCCACTTATGATCTCTTCTCTTATGCGATCATCTCCT